TAATATTTTCAAGCCAACGGACGCGAAATTATTGCCTCGCATTGCGCGTGTGAAAGTAAATACAGTTTGGTTGATGTGAAGAAAATGTGGAAAACACTTTTGAAACAAGGCCCAAAATAGGGCGTTTTCTGAACAATTTTCCTGAACAATTAGTGAGTGCTTGTCTATGGACAAATGGTTTGGAGAGAAGCGTCTGTGGCTGTTTGGTAATCACCTTCCACTTTTGCCCAGGAGGTAAGTTATATTGGTTGTAATAACTTAACGAGATTTGAAATCATTTGAAGAGCTTGTTGAACGTATTGTTGATTTGGTAAATAAAAGTCTTACTATTCAAGTGCAAATTTTGAAGAATTACTTTCCTATATTCAAAGAATTTAAGTAGTTCTTTAAATCTATCATAAGAGCTTAGTAAATATGTAATTAGACCCCAAAATACGTTGACTATTTAAATACAAATCAATTATGCATTCAACTTTTTTTACTGATTTCAAATCTTTGGAAATTTCTTTTAATAGTAACTTATGTACCATTATTATTCCAAAACTTTGCATTGCTTTGCTTTGGCGCAGAGAAGTTCTTTGAAACATTCTTGCATTGTTTTGGCCTGAGCTTGACATTGAAGATTCTTTTGTTGATAAAAGTATTTCGCCATCGTAAATGCTATTAACCCTGATATTGTTTTCAGTTAACCTCCAGACTCGCGGTTGACCTTATGACATTTTTTTGGCACCAGTCCTTTGAATATTACCATTATACATTTTACTTAATTACTGCCTGGTTTTCTGCCATTACTTTCGTTCTCTTAAATAATCCTCATCTAAATAAAGAAAAGAAATGAAAATACCAACAAAAGTCTACTCAACTAACACAAAACTTGGACAACAAACCAAGGAGACAGAGAGCAGACAAAAACTCCAATCAAATTGAAATTCAATCAAAAGGAATATGTGTTTGGGAGATAGGGAGAAAAAGAACAAAAGCCAGAAGAAAAGGAATCAAGTACACAGACATCAAATTGCATTGAAATGCGTTCGTCGCTTTGTTTGCCTTTTTTGTTTGGTTTTCCCAGGCCCCAAAATCCAACCCATCGAAACCACCAAACCACCGCCCAGTGTCAGACAGTCCAGACAAGCAACTCAAAAGGAATATTGCATACTTATTGGCAGCAGGAGCAGGAGCAGGAGCAGCGGTGGTGGTGGCAGCGGATGATTTAGCGGTTTTTAATGCTTTTCCTCCATGCAGACGGAGTGGAAACCCTTTTGGGCACATGTCAACGCCATTTGCGCTTCTGCTTTGGCGAAACCGAACTGAAAATATGGAAAAAATTGTATAAAATATACACAGAGACACTTTTTTCTTTTGCCGCACTAGTATTGCTTGATTGAAATCATTTCGAGAGGTCTGCTTCACGAGCGACTGGAATGTGAGCAGAATGAGAGATCGATGAGAAGGGCTAAGGGAATCAATAGTTGTTAAACATACTGAAAAACATATTGCAAGAATATTTATCGAGTGAATAACAGACAAAAGAAATCAGGATAAGAGTCATAGACCAGAAAATTAAATATAAAGTATAAGAAAATAGTTTATATGAATATATAGTTTTTAAACTCTTCCAGCCAGAGTCATGGAATGCTTTAAAGGGGTAATTTCCGATCCTATAAATCATATATATTATTAATCAGTATTGAAAGCTGAGTCAATCTAGCTATGTCCGGCTAAATGTATTTGTCTCAAAATTTAAAAAATTTGATAAGGGGTTACATCATTAAAATTTTCAAAAATTTAAGAAAATTTTACATTATTAAATACTAAATGCAGTTTGCAGATTGGTTAATCTAAAGAAATCTAGCACACAAATCTTTCCGATTGCAATTTATGCATTTTTGACTTTGTTATGACTAACTTTCTCTCCTAAGTTTCCCATAATTAGCTTCCTTTCGTGTTTCAAAGACAAGGAAGTGGTTAACTTTACATATTGATTTTGTCTTTTAAGTAATAAGCTCATAGGAGATCTTTAAATGCCACCCGAGTGCCATAATTTAATTTAAAATTTTAGAAAATGTATGGGTAAATTTTGGACTTTTGATTTCTTGAAAAATAAGGAATTTAATACGTTAATTTACCTAGTATTCTAATTACTAAGTAGATCAAACTTATAGCTTCCTTAAAAGAACATATGTGTATAAAAAATATTCCTCAGAAATCCCGAAACCTCTAGAAAAGGACCAGCGACTAAGGAGACACTCCTCCAAAATAGGATTTCAGTTCCGTGAAATCACTTTTTCTGATGTTTCTTGCCCACCTGCGGGTTCATGGCATTTGACAGCCGCTCTCATTCCCACAGTAAATCTCACCTTTCCCGGTTCCTTTCCCTTCTCCTCCTCCACCGATTCCACCGAATCCCTTGCATGATTGAACCCCTGCCTCGAGTTGGCTGCCTTTTCCCCTTCACGGGTCTTGGACCCCTGATTTCGTGTCCTCATTTTTGCATGTGGCGAATTCTGTTTTAGCCAGGTCCTAGAATCTGTTTTCTGCTCCCTCCGTCGCAACTCTCACTTCGCGCATAATGTTCTTTGGGTACATTTGCATGTGCCTCCACCATGTTTGTTGACCCAAAAAAAAGATGGTAGAAACAAAAATGGAAAAGTGCTGCCGGCACGAGACACGTCAGAATCGGAGCTGTTTCTTGCACCTGTCTGCGCTGCTGGGCGACTCATGCATCAAATATTCATGATGTCCGATGCATTTTAAAGCCGGGTATCGATAAAATAAATAGACAAGACCCGGCCGGGCCGAGGCTTAGTCATTCTGGGATCCTGGCGCTGTGCGAATCTACGGAGGAAATGATTCAATGAGATGTTCCAGAGCTACTCATCCTACCTGCCGCAGTCGCTTCAGAACTCGTTCCTGTACCGCCTCATCCAGAAATCCAGGTGTGCCATGAGCCCCATCTAGTCGAGGCCGGGGAGTACAGGTGGGTGCATCCATCGGTCGATTAGTTTTCCCTCTTCGTGGGCCTAATTAGCTTTGCTTACTTTTTCTGTGGAAAGAAATGAAAGTGAAAAATTGTGCTAGAGGATAAAGTTTTCCGCAATGACATTTGCGGCCTGGTGGTGTTGCAACGGCCTTGGCCTTTGTTTGCACACGCACACGTATGGCCGGTGGCGCCAATAAGTGTGCTACGATTTTTGCACATCCTTCACAGGAAGCCTCGACGCGCCTCCTCTCCTCGCTTCGCTTCCGTTCGTTTCAGTTCAGTTCGGTGCGTGTGCGAGCATTTGGCATTAATGGCTTGTTATTTATTGCATTTTACGCTTGTTTTCCCACAAGGCCACGTCAACACAACACCAACTAACTATTCTTGGCTGCCCCTGCCACGTTCCAGGGGAAAGGCAAAAAGGTTGCAGCTCTGCGCTATAAAACTTTTCATTGCCTGGCATATTTATTTCTATATTTTACCAACCCCCTTACACTTTTGGCCAAAAATTCTCTCATTGCATTGCTTATTTTTAAACCGCGATTCGTTGTTCTTAGACCACTTTATGAATTGTGAGCAAGGTTCTTCGCCAAAAAGGGCAGTTCAGTCCAAAGTTCAGGTATTTTAAGCTTAACTCGGTTTCAAGTCAATAATTGTATGCAAATTTAAAAGCTGAATTATATTTAATTAAAGAGCAGAATATGTTGTCAAAGGTTTGGAACTTATTTTGTTACATCATAATATTAATGAGTATTTTAAATATGTATTTAAATAATAAATAAACCTTGCGGAATGCAGATTTAGGGTGCCTTTAAAATTGTTTTTTGTTTGTATTTCACATCCCTTCAAGAATGTATACATTTTTCTGGCTTTTAAAGCTTAAGCCTTTAAAATATTAAATGGATAAAACAAAAATTAAATTAAATTGCATTACAAAAGGATTTATCTATACAAAAAGAATAGGTATTAATAATCAATCGATTTTAATTACCTTTATCAAACAGTTAATGCTCTCACTGGAAAAAATAATAAATAGAAGTAGCCATATTTTTTGCCAATTATTCCCTCCAATCCAGACATAAGTCAATTCTCGAGAAACTTTTATATATATTTCGCACTTGTGGTGCTTCAACCTCCACACAAACCCCATGGCAAAGGGTCAATAGCTGAGGCTTTCGTACAATAGTTCCGCCTACGGAAAAGTTAAATGGTTGAATAGCCAATGAGCTGGGAAGCATTGACCCCAAAAATCAAAAGCAAACATCAGGCTAAGAGAACAATAAATTACTATGGTAGGCAAATAGCAAGAACAATAAATACAAGCACACACACACACAAAAATATAATTAAAAGCCACAAGAGCCTTTAATAAACGAGAACTCAAGCGCGGAGGCAGTTAAAGTGTTTATGCGGAAAACAAAGGCTGTCAAATGTATAAATAGGCAAGCAGGCACAGAGTGGGTGGTGGTCGACGGGGCTTCACTGTAATTATGCAAATTAAATTGCAGAAACCACTTGAGCAACGTACTGTGGCTCTGTGGCCGTCAGTCAGAAAGGTCAAAGGCTGTGAAAACCACAAGCCAAGAAGAGATATTTGACCAGGATCGACTCTTCTCCTCAAATGCGACCACGTGGCGTATGCGTGATACTCCTTCATAATTCATATTAGACGCTCGCTTTCGTGTTACTCAATTGCATTTTAATGCATATTTAATGCCGCACGCGAGCCACAAGCAAACAAAAACAGGGAATCAAAGTCGCCAGAGGCCAACATGGCGTATGTGCAATGTCCGCAGCTGCAATCGAGCCGCTACAACTCCACTTTCCGTCCAAACTGGTTCTAGCCAAAAAAGAAAGCATAACGGCTCAGTCGTTTGCCGGCTCTTAGCGTCTTCACATCGTGTCGTTCTACCAACTCGCTTTCGCGCAGGTCTTCTGGCCCAAATTGGAGTGTACACGGAAAAGCCTCAAAGCAGGCTAAAATATAAACAAAAAGAGTTTGCTTGGTGAAAATTTGAGTTAGCAATGAAAATGTTCGAGATTTCCAAGTTGTTTTCCCTGCGAAGGTAAGACAGCAAACAACTCAAACTAAATATCTAATTATAAGCAAACTTCAACTAAAGTATATTTACCAAAATCATATTTCATTAAAGTGTGTGTCGTAATTTATAATGTTGTGAAATTAAAAGGCAAAATATTGCTAAATTATGCAAGGGAAAGTTTGAATGCGTTTGAAATACAAACACGTAAGAGTTAACTTTTAAGTGGCCTTTGAGTTATCAAAATTAACTCTACCCAGGACTATTTACCATTATACAACCGAGTTGAACTACCTTAATAACGATATAATTGCCGGTGATTAAGCATTAATAAGTAATATGAAACCCGAATGAAAGGCAAACCCTCCCTTGGGGCGCTCATTGCACTGCTGCACCAGTTTGCTGGTAACTTCTCCGATATTCCAGTTTGCCGAGCACTCCAGGCAGCTAAACTCCTCCAGGTAACCTCAAAAAAAAAGGAAGGAAAGGAAAAGAAACCAAAGAACCGAGCTAAGAATGCCAAAGAAGCACGCCTCAAATGCCTTCCGGTCGACGCTGGAAAAATAAAACAAACACGAGGGGGAGAAACTTCTTGAAAAACTTTGGGGGGCAACTGCGCATGGTTTTGGTTTTTGTTGTGGTTTTTCCGCTTTGTTAACTCCGGTCGCATTGCTATGACATTGGCCAACCCGGGACAGAGCACCCGTCCGGCGATAGATTTTCCCCCATTTCAGTGCTTGGTTGTCAGTCAAAACAATCGTCTGTTCTAGCGGTCTGGCCGCCGAAAAATTATTTATTGATCCACGACGACAACGGTCGAGGGCCGTGGATGAGCGCATGGTGTGTATCGTAGAAATATCCTCGATTCCATTGAATTGTTTTGTATAAAACCGAGATTCATCCACAATTTCAATACGATACTCTAGTTGCAAATACGTCAAATCTTAGCCAGATGGGTGCCTAGGTAAGTCATCTGTTTGCCACACTTTCGGTGTCCTCGTTTGTTGCTTACTCAGCTCAACTCAACTCAACTCACCTGTGCTAGCCATCAATCCACCTGCACATGAACATGAATACTTAATGCATGTTATGCTTATGACCTACACACACACACATTCCATTCCATTCTCCAAGGGAGGCTCAAGTGAAGTTCAATTACCTCGGCTTTGAGTTGGCATTGAACTGCCAGGCCGTATCACTCATAAAATCCTCGAACAGCCAAAAAGGAACATGGTCTAGAGCTACGAGTTTGGGCCAAAAAATCAATATGGCTTTCGTGCTCAAACGGGGATTCAATGGGGGGTGCAGGTGGGGGGTGCAGGTGGAGGTTAATTGGTCTGGTCTCTGTATCTAATGAAGGCTTCACATTAACAATATCGATTTATTTGATTCAGTAAAAGATATAAATTAGTATTAGAAGGGATTTTTATCTATGATTTGTGGTAATATTTAACTAAAGGAAAGCAAAGAACTATTGTAGGTTTAGAGATCTTTTAAATTTTATTGAATACTTTTTTATTAGTATTTAGTCTAGATTTTTCTTCTACCATATGATTAATTTGAAAAAGAAACTTTCAGACTTCCGTGTTTTTATGTTTTAAAGTTTATCAAACTTTCAGGTTACAATACTATTATTATTATTTATTGGGAGCATTATTTATTATTCAAACGCATAATTGGAAAATAGCGATTAAGTGTTAGTAAATTTCATTAAACTAGAAGTTGGAATAGCTTAAAGCCTCTTAACAGTTCGGGTGAAATTTTAAATGAAATTTAATACTATTTTACTGTCAACAGAAAGGTATAATTGAAAAATTAACATAAAATACAACTCTAACTAATAATTTCAATCTGAAAGCAACTAAATCTGTCTAAGATTCAGAAATTCTCAAGAAAACTTTCATTTATTTTTACACACTCTACACAATTTTATTTGATCACCTCCATCAAAAGTTTCTAAATAAATTTACTCATTCTAAACGATTTCTCATTTGTTATTCGTTTCATTCATCGAAAGCAACTAAACCAAATCATAACAAATTCGTAAACCCAAAGACTCTCTCGACAACAACGTTCTGGAAAACCCAAATATGAAACCGAACTAAATGTTAAACTGAAAAAAACTCTGTAAATATATGCACATAAAATCATCGAATTGTCCAGAACAAAATCACTCCATTCCCGTACTCGTACTCGATCCCATATGTGTTCGTGTCTGAGCTATCAAACAGAAAAACTTTTAAACATTTTATGTGCTCAATGCAAAGCAATGCGACGTGCAAACATCAAACGTGGTCAGTGTTTGAGCTTAAGGTAAAATCCACTCTCAACTCAGCCTGAATGTTAACCGCACTCGAATGGGGATTCCGGGAATAACTCGACTTTGTGCTATTCCTTACAGACCACAAGGTAGCAGCAAGATGGATCGCTACGAGAAGTTGAGTCGGCTGGGCGAGGGCTCCTACGGTGTGGTCTACAAGTGTCGGGATCGGGAGACAGGAGCTCTGGTTGCGGTCAAGAGGTTTGTGGAGTCTGAGGACGATCCAGCCATAAGGAAAATAGCACTGCGAGAGATAAGGCTACTCAAGGTAATCATATCATAAATATTTTTATATTATTTGCTTAATTATTCTCGTTTAACAGAACCTCAAGCATCCAAACCTGGTCTCCCTTCTGGAAGTGTTCCGTCGCAAGCGTCGCCTGCACTTGGTCTTCGAGTTCTGTGAACTTACAGTACTCCATGAGCTGGAGCGGCATCCGCAGGGCTGTCCCGAGCACCTGACCAAACAGATCTGCTATCAAACTCTGCTGGGTGTGCCTATTGCCATAAGCAGGGCTGCCTGCATCGGACATCAAGCCTGAGAATATTTTGCTAACTGCACAGGGTCAGGTGAAGCTCTGCGACTTTGGCTTTGCCCGAATGCTTAGTCCTGGGGAGAACTACACGGACTATGTGGCCACCAGATGGTATCGGGCGCCAGAACTCCTCGTGGGTGACACACAATATGGCACACCCGTGGATGTATGGGCCATTGGCTGCCTCTTTGCGGAACTGGTGCGTGGAGAGGCCCTGTGGCCAGGACGCAGTGATGTGGATCAGCTCTACCTATCCGCAAGACCTCGGCGACCTGCTGCCACGTCACATCCAGATCTTCGGGCAGAATGAGTACTTTAAGGGAATCACATTGCCAGTGCCGCCTACGCTGGAGCCGCTGGAAGATAAGATGCCGCCCAAGTCATTGCAGAACCCGCTGACCATAGACTTTCTGCGCAAGTGTCTTGACAAGGATCCGGCCAAGCGTTGGTCCTGCGACAAGCTGATCAAGCACTCCTACTTCGAGGACTACATAGCCAAGCAGCGGGAGCAGGAGCATGTCACCAGCCTGGAGGCGGCCAATCATCGCCAGCAGCAGCTCGCCTCCCAGCAATTTATGTTGGCCACGGCAGCCCAGCAGCTGCAGACGGGGCCAGCTCAGGCGGCAGCCATTGCAGCGGCCCGTGATAAATCAAAGGTTAATTGAAACATTCATTTATTCTATATAAGATTTAAATTGAAATCCCTTTTATTTTGCAGACTTCAAACACCTCATTGCCGTTGCTTCCGAGCACACAGCATCATCATCATCCGCATCAGGACTATGTGAAGCTGCAGCCGCTGAACAAGAATGCTAACCTCCTTCATCGCACCGAGCATCATCTGCCCACAATCTGAGGCGGAAATTGTAATTAAGAACTGTCATTGAGTTGCAAAGTGTTTTGTGCAGAAAGTTGCACAGAATTTATATTATTTATTGCTGGTAATAAATGTGTAAAATGTGTAAAAGTAATCCCTAAATAAATCACTGGGCGGAGTTGGAAACGTAAAATGCAAAATAACATAAAACCTGTCACTGCAGCAGGATATCTCAGCTTTTTCTATAAAATTTTCAATTGTAAATTCGTTCTCATGAAAGATTCGCAAATCACTCTCGATTGGAGCAACTAAGTCAAGTTGATATTTAATTCACTTTCGAGCTGGAGCCATCCGCCCCGAAGGCAAATCCTTTTTAGCTTTGCACATACACGCACATTGAATTAAAAATCCCAGCTGCCATTTATATAAGGCGTGTCTCTGCCAGTGAAGCCAGTTACTTGCCACCTGCAGCTCTCTGTCCCATCCACTTGTTGGGGGATAGACCGGAGCAGATAATCACCTCCGCCTGCGATAGAATCATCCAGGAGCGGAGTTCCTCTTGACTTCAGTGAAAAGCCAAAAAAAGGGTAAAGAATCCACACCTGGAGGAACGCTTTGTCGTCGACAAGTTCTCGTCTTTTGGCAGCCCTGCCACGTTTTTTGGCAACTTAATTCAGTGCTAAGCACACGGCAGATAATCAGCGACACGTAGCGGCTTACGTGTGTCCTATCCGTGTCCTGGAGAGTTTGCCGAAGGATATACACAAATGTTAGTATAATGTTGTCCTGATTAAGGTGATAATGTCATGAAATTATTAGCAAAACCTACAGAGCAGTATAAATATTATAAAAGCAACAATATTTTATCACTTAAAAAGTATTTAAAATAAGAAGTTATGCCTTCTTGAAATACTGCAACTAAATTATTTACAATATAAACATCCTTCACACACAAAAGGTATCAAAAAGTGTTGATTTATGTTATAAATTTAGACTCATGGACTTAAATATTATTTTCCTGCGGCATCGACAGCTGTATGCTATTATTATTCGACCCAGTTGAAGCTCTCTACAGACCAAGAGGATCAGCACTGATTGACTTAACTGTGCACACTTTTTTTCATCGTTTTTTATTATGAAAACTTTTAATTAAATTAGAGTAAAAGTTGTGCCGCCAACACCAGCTTCAACAGCAGCCGAGCGGAGGAGCCGGAGTAGAAACTGAAGCTGGAAAATAGTCAGCAGTCAACAAAACTGTCAGCACATAACGCAGAAATCTCCTGAGGACAAGCCATGTCCATGTGGCCGGGATTTTTCCTGCCGGAGAGCTGAGAATTGGAGAAAACAAGAGGAAAATGGTATAGAGAGAGGGAAATTGAGTGTATCGCTGGATGCCAGAGCCAGATTCCTGGCCCAACTCCATGCCATGCTCCATTGCAGAACCGTCACCAATTGTTAGACACTTTGATTTTTGTCGTTTGGCCAACACACAACAATAGTCCGCCGAGGACTTTCTTTCCAATTTTTTTTATTTTTGGTATTTTTCCCCCCTGTGCTCTCTGTTGCTTTTCCGGTCGCTGTGCATTTTGTTGGGAATGTAAAATGGGCAAAAGCATTTGTAAGTCGAGCCGGCCATCGAAGCATCCCGCTTCCTGGACCAGGATATGCAAAGTGTCTCCCAGACAGTTGCATAATCTGTAGTGCCGTTTATGCAAAGTGCTCACCGAAAAACCAAAACCAAAGCGCACAACCCAGGCAGATAGAAAGTTTTCGTCCTGGCGGATAGCTAAGGATATTGTCGAGGAGGTGTCCCTGAATTGCTAAGCTCGCCAAAGTGCAGAAAAGAGGAATCGAAGTTTTATTGAATAAGTTGATAAGGCTGTTTTTCCAGAAAACCACTTGGGATTGAGTCAGTTATGTAGGACAGAGGTTTATTTGTTCGAATATTTATTGTATTTAAATATTTATGAAATTTAAAGAAGGAAGATAAGTTTTTACTAAAATTTAGTTAAAGAATATATTTTTGTGTTGAGTTTATTGTGTTTGTTTAATAAAGGATTTCAAATACCATTGTATTGCAATATCAGAAAAGGTTTCTTCTCAACTTAAACTCAGTTAAAACTAGTTCTATCGGAAATAAATATTATATAAAAGGAATCGAGATTTTATTTAAGATTATTTTCAATTAATCGCCAGAAATTGTACAAATATTTGCTCTTTAAATCGTTATAATAACTTTTATGAGAATTTGATCTATTTTTCTAATTTTAATTCATTAAACTTTGGGATCAGTTCGTTATGATCATATATAATCGGTAAAAATGGCAAGCAAATATCATAAATACAATTCTTGGGTATTAATTGGATAATAAGGGTATTTTATCATTATGCTATAACTATATAAATGATATTTTTTGTATGGTTTAATCAAGGTATTTATACTATACCTTTGCAATACATTATAGTTTAGTTAGAAGCTTGAAACGCTTGAAGAAATAATAAAGGAAAGGGCTTACATGGTTAAAATTTTCAAAAATTACTAAATTTGAATGTTTTTAAATTTGTATATTGAGTATGCAGATTTATTAACCTATAAAAACTAACACAGAATAGTTTTCCGATTGAAATTAATGCCTTTTTGGCTTAGTTATGACAAAATACTATTTACACCAGTGCGTATACGTAATTTTTTTTTTATAAATTCTATACTTAAAATTTAACAAAATAACGTTAAAAAGAGGATTTTTAAGATCTTTCTTTAAAGCCATCCATCAGCTAATAAGTGAATAATTCATGTTAAAGCCGTGTTTTCGATCTAAATTCAAAAAAAGTATGTATAGTATTTCTTATAACAGTAACAAAAATTACGTATACGCACTGGTGTATTAAAGTTTTAAGAAATTTTGGTCAAAGTTTATTCCATTTCCCTGTAGTTTTCATTGAAATTAATCAAGAACTTTTGACTGAGAGTAATGTTTCGAAAATCGATTGATTTCTGATTCGATTCTATAATTCATATGCAAACTGGTAGGGTATATTAATTTCAGCTATCCAAAGTTAGTTTATATGTTTTTTCGAGGTATTTTTTCTTCTATTATGTGGTACTTTTCCTTCGTAATATATCAGTACCATCGATGCATCTGACTTTCTGCATACCGCCTATTAAGGTCATTCTTGCGCTGGACATCGCCACCCACTCCGTTTAGGAGCTCCCGCGGCTGCCAGTTGCGGTAGACGGAAGGATCCTGCACCTTATCCTCGCCAGTGTCCAATGCCTGCTGTTGCCACCACTTCAACTGGGGCGGTGGAAACTGCGTCTGCACGGGCAGGACGGAGACCACAGGCGGATGCCGACGTGGCCACAGGCCCAGTTTGCTCAGGCGTTTCTGTTCGTCGATGTCCGTGTCGTGCATGTCGTGCATGTGGAGAACCGGGAGTGGCTTCTGGGAATCGTTGAAACGATTTGGTTTTATAGCCAAAGGATGAAAAGGATCATCGCCATAGAGCTCACGATAGCGAGCACTCTTCACCAGCCCAATGATCTGGAACATGGCTATACAGGTAAAGGCATTATAGCCCAGAAAAACTAGGACCAACAAGACAATGATTAATAAAATGACAAATAAACTGAAAAGGTTACAAAATATTATTTTAAAGTTATACTTACATATGTAAAAACAACCAACCAATGTCAGAATTATAAGTAAGCCCAGATTGATCTGTTTCTTTAGCATAATCATCAAGACTATATGCAATATGGTGATGTTTATGAAGTAGACAAACTCAAAGAAGGCCAGGGGCAGCAAAAACCATTTCTGCAACTAATTGGGGGATATTAAAATGTCTTAAATTCCAAAAAGACAAGGATATACCTTCAAAGCACCCCAGATACTCATTACGGCAACAGCCATGTGAAAAAAGGACACGACCTGAAAGAGTGTTAAGAAGCTCTCAGGAGCTGCAAGAAAGTAAATATTAAGCAAAATCCCCTATAAGTGACCTTGAAAACTCACAGTTCTCCATCCAATTTATGTACTTCCTCACCCACTTCCGGTTCTTGTAGTCGGCATCGTGTTCAAACAAATCGATTAGCGGGTCGAAAAACTTCACACCCATCGTAAAAAGTATAATACTTTGGGCCATGCTTCGTATCTGGGGTAGAAGGAGTTCATTAAATTCAGTAATGGAGACTGACCGGGCTCACCTACAATGACCATAACTGCCACAATGATGACACCGAGCCGCACCGAGCAGTAGCACATATAGGATTCCATAAATAACATATTGAATTTGGTATTTCTCGTAATTTCGGTCCATAAATCAGAACGCAACTATGTTATGTACCTCGATCCATTGAGGGTCACAAAGCGACTGTGGTGAATCAACCTCTTCCAGTGGCAAACAAACAAAGGGGGAGCAATTACCGCCCGGGCAAATGACAAAAGCATGTTCGAGATGCCAATCTCTCTGGCCGGCATGGTAATGGAACCCAGAGAGCCAAAAAAGCCTCAAACGCAGACCGGAATGGCCATCATCTATCATTCACTGGCCAGGACCCATGAAGGTAGCAACGATGTCGCGCTTTTCAGTTAGTCCTTCCCGACATGGTTCTCATGGAGAGCTACTTTTTCTGCGCCTCGGTTCGATTGGGTGTCCTTATCATCTGTTTTGTGGCCGCTGTGAGTCCTCCAAAGGATTTCAGACTGGGCTTGATGTGTTATTAGGTGTCATTTTTCTCTAGCTGAAAAGCACCATCATTATGTGGTTGATCTTCACCGATGGAACTGCCTTTCTCTATGTCATCATTAACATTTTCGAATCCCATTACAAGACGAGTACAATTGTCCATGAATCGGTCAACTGGATAGAGCAGTGTAAGTTGAAGCTTAACCAAATATATTGTTTGTAACTAAATCAGGAAAATTAATTGATTAATTCTGCATTTCTATACAAATTTAAATAAAGATATCTAACAGAGAAACCCTTATATATTATTGTATAATTAAATATGATCTGTATGCTGATCTTAAATATTTATATGTCCAGTAACCCCATTATATGTATATCCATTTATAACCATGACAATGAACTATTCATTGTTTGTCTCCTTAGGTAATCATGAACATAATTGCAAAAATAGAACACAAAATTAATTTTTAATGATTTTTTAACTATTTTACTAGACAATCTACTGGAAGAATCTGGAAAAGTGTATTGTTTTGAAATTGTTCAAGCGGAAATTGAGTCTACAATAAAATTTTTAATGATACTTAATTTGTTTGAATAATATTTAATATACAGTTTTCCATTGCTTGCTCATAACAAATATTGGTAGTAACTTAACACCCATAAGATGCGGTTTCAAATATTTTATGCCACTCTAATTTTACTCTTAATCATGCCAAGTTCTACTGTAAGTTTATAAATTCATATTCCTCTGTTATTTAAATGATAAAACCACTTATGTAGCTGGCTGTTGTGTTCAAGTTTACAAACTTTGTTTGCCAAACCTACAACCAATCCTGGTTTCAATTTCAAGAATGTCGCCTGAAGGCTGTATCTAGAGACAAGGTATTATTGAATATGAATGGAACCATACTATATCCTGTGAATAAGGCTCAGATTCAGGGCAAGTTATTCAAAAGGGAAAGTGGCTATAAGCCATGGCTTCTTGATATCCAAATTGATGCCTGTCGATTTATGCGAAAGAACTATAACACAGCTGCCAAACTTATTTTCAACATTTTCAAAGAGTTCACCGATATTAACCACACTTGTCCTTACTTGGTAAGTTATTCTCACAAAATTATTATTAAATTAACAGATTAGTTTTTTATTTAACTTTCAGGGTCCGGTGCATCTTAGAGGATTTTATCTCCAACCTGAATTATTAAAACTTCCCTTTCCATCTGGTCAATACATGATATCATTGAGATGGTTCTTTGATCGCAAACTTCAATTTGATACCAATATCAGTTTTGTATTTGTTGAGGATTTGAAGAATACATAAGCTTAAAGATGTTTAAAGTTGTTGATGGAGGAAATATCTACAGAAATAAATGTTTACATTTTCTTTAGTTTTATTTTCATTCAGGAGGTTCAGATTACCAAGCTGTAGTTTTATTAATGATTGTTATTTAAAATCAATATATTATCTTATATACTATTATATTTTATAACTCTTAAACAACTTTTCTCTTAGATCCCAAGGAGCTCATGATGTTCTTTCAACTCTACAGCTTTTGCCACATTGTGTCTTGTGTAGTTGCAGCCTATGGAGCATACAAGGTGAACTTTTTAATATAAATGTATAACTATTATTAAGAAAAACAATTTTTTTTTCCTAGCTCAAAAGTGCCACGTCATACCTTTGGCCATCTTCGAATTCTTTTACACAGTCCAAGTCGTAGTCCTAGCAACTATAGCTCTTCGGATTGTAAGACACATAGTGCCCCTGGCCACATTGATTCTTTTAACCCTAGGCTTAACATTCTACGCAAGTTGGATATATAATAATTTGACATCAACTTTCTCATACAAAACTCTTAATTTTCAGTGTTGGTTGCCTACGACACCCTTCTGCTAATTGCATTCATACAAATTATGTTTTTGGTTTGGAGTGAACGATACCAACGATTATATGGAGCTGATCCCTTAAATCCCGTCCTCAATGGGAAGACTTTTAAGGAAATGACAGACAATTCTTCTCCCATCTCGCAGCAACCAATAATAATATATGTAATGCCAAAAGTTGGTCAAAAGTTATGGAATATGCAACCACAAAAATGGTGGAAGGATGAAATTATTCAGGACGAAAATTCTCAGGAAAAAGGACTCTTGCCAGAAGACTTCTCTAATTATTTTCAACGAGAGGAACTTTTATCGAAAGTCCTTCTGAGAAATGCCATAAATGGAAGTCATTTGAAAAAATAAGTAAAGTTATTTAAAGTTTTAGGTTTAATGACGAAATTTTGGATCTTAAAAGAAATAAAAACTATGTGTTACTGTCTGTTAAAATATACATAAGTTCTACAAAATGAAGACCACAATAATTTATTCATCTTTTAAGTTATTTTTATTGTAATACATTTTTTAAAAACGTATCTTAAATAACTGAAACTAAAGGCCAGAAAAACAAAGTAATTTAGTTCATTTTAATGTAGGATACCTTATACCAGCTTAATTTGTTTTATATTTATTTAAATATTTTTATAACCTACAGGGTATTATAATTGAAGAAGCTTGAAACGCAATGACAGAGTTATTTTCGACCCTAAAAATCATATATATTATTGATCAGTATCAACAGCCGATTTGATCTAGCTATGTCCGGAAACAATTTATTTTTTCAAAAATTTCAAAATTTCAAAATTGATAAAAAATTTGAATTTTTTTAAATGTTTTTTTTACACAGTTTTGTTAGCCTAATTAAAACTAGCATTGTAAAGCTTTCCGAATTGAATTTGAAGCCTTTTTGTCTTAGTTTAACTAAGTTAGTTATGATCATTTCCATGGTTATACTACAAGGAAATACAAACTTTGTTTTCCAAAGTTAGCTTATTGTTTCCTTCTTGTTTTATATAAATATAGAGTGCCTAATGTTTATTTGTATCCAATTTACCTAACTTTTTATTGTATGCAGTTAACTACATTAAATTATTCACACTTGGCAACAAGTAAGGTACTCATTGTTTAAAAAAAAAATAAAAAAAATTATGTATTGTGTTCTTTAAAATTAATATTCTTGAATATCCTTCTTCAGGACTACTCGTTGACTAAACATAGGAACCAGGAACGTGTCATAATTTCTTCTAGCCTCAGAGCTTGGACGCATTGCCAACGATTAAATTATTTACCAACAGCTTAGAATCTGAATACTTCTGAATTGGGTTTCATAATAAATTAAATAAATATTTCTGTTAACAATCAAAGTATTTAACAATTTGTAACACTTAAAATACACTAGTTAATGGGGGAAAAGAAACCTATACTTATTGTCACGTCCTGCAGGCTACATTCTGTCCATAAAGCACTCGGTATTCGGGCTCGATCTTGGCCTTAATAAACTTGGTCATTTCTTTGCATATTTCAAGCGGGTTGCCGAGGCTTTGGTTAGTTTCTTGATGCCGGGACTATGCACCAAGAAAGCTGGATGTAAGACGTGATATTCGTAGCCCAATAAGCACATGGCATAGTTCTGAAAGATGCAATAAGAATTTAACAATTTATCAAGCAGATTAATATTTAATAATCACCTGAATTCGCTTATTGGACTGCCCCTCCCAGGTAACCCGTTCATCAAACAGCGGCTCCGTGTTGTCGCTCACATAGAAGGGCTCCCAGGCTCGGTATTGCTTCTCCTACGTCCCACACTGAATAACTCCAGATGATCCTTGACACTGGGTGCCCGATTAAGCCAATCCTGTTGACCGGGAACCTTGTGACAGGTGGAACAGAGCTTCAAATGGAAGATCTGTGCCTTCTGCCTCCTATAGAGATCCAGTAACTCAGACTTGTTGCCAGGTACTTGAGCTTCGGCCTCAATCTCGAAGACTGCCAAGGATACACCCGTCGCGGCTGGCTGGGATCCAGAGCCAGGACACTATGATTCTGGGCCACCATGTCCAAAATTGATTCACAAAGCCCAGGCTGGGGTACAACTCAATGTCGCAAGCGAAAATAAAATGTGTATTGACCGCCTGCCTCGCAATATTCCTGCCCACATTTATGGGATAGGTGAGATTGGCCTTCACCTTGTAGCTATCGTTGCGATCGATGAGTGTATAAGGAGGTGGAATCAAGGAGCCATCGGGCAGAGTGCAGAAGTAAGGCCGATTCAGGACCTCATCCTCGTCGTAAGGCACATTCTCTGGCATATGTTGGTTGGAGAAGTAGACATGAAAGCTTACCCAATCGCTGATGGCCTCACTGCCGGGCAAACAGTTTCGGACATACTGAATGGCATCCAAAGTGGCATTCAGATCATAGCCAGGTGCATGAATGGCAAAGCTGATGGGACCACCCCAGCTGGAAAAGATGAGATTAAAAGGATATGATTAATAAAGGGATATCTGTAAACAATTGCTTCTTAATAATAATAAACAAAGCTATCTTTTTACTTTAACTAAAACCTCTTGGAATGGGAACTAAAATGCGGACAAACCCGGACACTTCAAGATAAGCTAAGTAGATTTATGACGAAGACACTTACCGTTCGACCACCGTTTCCAGGTTATCAAAGAATGTATAATCTCCATTTGTTGTATAAGTAATGGACTCCGAGCAGCCAACTTGACGGCTCTTTCGCCCAATCACCAAATTCTGGAGCAACCAGAATTCACCGTGCTGGAGTCTCTGGAAGCGGAGTGGACGATTCCGGCACTTAACCAGGCGTTGCAGTTCTCGGGTGCGTGGGGAATCCTGTCTGGCAGTTATCCTTATTGGTTCCTCACAGTCCAGGTAATCAGCTGGAGAAAAATCCACCGACATTGACCAATTTGGCTTTGATAAATCCCGCTTGATCTGACGATTCTGTGTAAGTTGATTTGCCTGCTGTAGGTTCTTCCAAAGTAGCAGCAGAGCCACACAGAGGAGTATAAGGATCGGCCAGAGGCGGGTATATCTCCTATTCACAAAGCTAACCGCCGTCATGGTGAGCAGCTCCAAATTTTGGGGAACCAAAACCTCAACAAACACTCCACTCCGTTGCCAAACAATAATTAACCTGCAAGCAGAACGAGAAACCCAATAAACACTGAGACTCTCTGATAGACCCAGGGCGCTGCACTTATGTACGTGCCAACCCATCTACGTGCCGAATGGGTTTTATAAAGAGAAGCCACGGTATAGAGGGGTTAATTCAATACCCTGACCCATTATATCATCCGTAATTACTATTAGAACTCGTCCGATAAGATCCCCACATAATGTCGTGGGAGTTCCAATGGCATCGCCCTTTTGATTTGACGTGTTCCGACAACGAAAATAATTTGGTTTCATCCTTTAACTACACACAAAAATAGCTAACATGATATATAATCATTGAGAAACTGCGTAATAAATACATATGTTTTCTATAATTGGGAAAAAAGTGTACTTGTTGGAGGTCTTAACTTATCTGAATCAGCAATGGGTCCTTTATTTATAAATATTTCTTTAATTTGATAAAAACACGCTCAAAAAAGCCTCTAACTTAGCAATGGGGTTTCTTTGGCTTATGGATGATACTGATGTCTTAAAATGAAATTTAAAATGATAATCATTTGAGGTAAATATAGACAATGTATCATCTTCCTTAGTTGCTTATATCAATGTTATTCGATTGTAGTAAAACTTTTTATTACTTTGTATGATAATGTCTTTTTTTAACTCAATGTTTTATCAGCCGAATTTAATCTGCAAAGGTCAAATTGCGCTCAGATCATTGTTGTCACAAGAAAAATGCAGCAGTCTATTTATACAGCTTGTTTTAATTCCAACACAAAAGCTCTTCAGTGTTGTTATAAACTAACTAACCTTAGGATTAAGCCCTCTTGCCTAATACACTTTAAAAGCTAGATATCTTTTACTAGTTTACTTCTACAAAATATTTGTAATTTGTGTATGCCTAAAAAACAAGGCAATTACAATCACTTCTATAATTTATTTGTATTTATTTACATACCTTTTGTTGATGGTATGTCCTATGTCAATCTTAACATATTTATATTGATAAGAGAGATAATATTTGTGACGACTTTTTCACAAATCTAATCTATAATATACTAACTTTACTAGAAATTCAATGGAATTACTACAATAAATAAGAGCTCCACCTCTTCTTCCACTTGAAACACAATCGCAAAACAAAATAACTGACCAGTCTGGTTGATTTACCAATTCTGAAAATGATCAGATAACCATGAACGAAACACGATTTTAAAAATTTACCAAAGGAAATAAAATGCTTTTCCCTTTTGTTTATCAGTTAGAATCGATTACAATTTAAAAAACAAGGTGCGAGAGCACAATAAACTATATAAAACGGAGAGAGAGATGTCACACCTGTTGAAGTCGAGCGATGAAATGTAACTAAAGTATTGGAACTTGCAAGAAAACACAATTCCTAGGTAATATGCTTATCCGAGCGCAGTTATCAGGAGAGAGCATCGGCCTTATCACAGCCATTAATATGCCCAATCAATAGATAACCCAGTTAGATGGTGGACAGGGGTCTGCAACTACTTATTATTACCGGGATATTTGACTCGAGTTTTCAGAATCACGTTTTCATGATAATACCTTATCGCTGGGAATCTTGAAATTCAGAGTAATGTCTTAATAATTATTTGATAAAGTTTCTTATTAGCAAAGATTGTGAAGAAATTAACTAATCAAATCAGAGCGAACAGATAATATATAGATATTAAGATAACTATATAAATAAATCCATTACATACAATTACTTTTAGTTTAAAAATGTTTATCTAATTTATGGATCACATAATAATTGCTTAAATATAAACAAGTTTTATGACTTTTTGAAGACTCTTCTTCAATTGTTCAAATTTTCGCTCTTATTTATTTTTAAAGTATACCCGTTTGTGATCGCTCCAGTAGCTGGTTAAGTCCCACTGGCTGCCAGTTGCTAAAGCTTCCATCGCTGAGCATGCACACGTTGCGATCAATATAACAAAACAGCTTTCCGACGCGATAAATCTGCAAATAAAACGAAGCTCGTTACGATAAAAATGCAAACACTCAATAAAGCTTATAGCTTCTAATCTCAATTGCTCTCACCTGCTTGCCCATTTCCCGTCTGCCGGGAAGGGAGCAAAGATAATGCCCAGCTCGGCGCAGCGCTGGGACACAAGCTCCTTGAACTCCAGCTGGGCGGGTTGATGCACCAGATCCACCATCATAACAGGCGGCAGGAGACCCGTCGGAACAGGACCCGGTGGCATTGGCGGCGGTGGTGTGGCCGTGATAGTGGGCTGAAGGAGGGCATCACTGGCGCGGTGCATCATTTCAAGAGCTCTTCGTAGGTGCTCCTTGACGCTTGGCTCGCGGATAACCTGCTCACTCAGCATGCTCTTCCAGCCGGTGTACCAACGCGATATCTCAGCATAGTCAGGAGACTGATTCAACCACAACACCAGCACCTGCATCCAGCGCGGGAAGAAATGTCTGTCCAGCAGCTGAGCCATGTACATCGGTTCAATGAGCTCATGCCACTCCCAAACCTGATGCCACAACTCCAGGTCCTGGTGCAGAGGATTAATGACAAACTCGGCGAGGGTCAACTGCAGCTTTGGTAAGATGTGACGCTGCAGGAACTCCTGCATCTCCTCTTCGGGGAAGGCCTTCTGCCAAGGCGTTAACATGGCCCTGGCCGAACGATCCTGTGGCAACCAGGCGCGCAGCGCTTCCCCAAGCTTGCTGCGGATCTGCGGATAGACGGCCTCCTCCAGTTTACTACCCAGGATGGCGTGCCAGGGCAGTACCCAGCTGTCTATGGGCACGGTGTCAGTGAGGGGATCCCATTCCTGGACGCCGGTCACCAAACGCGGCAGCACCAACTGTTCCAGCACAGAGTCCAGCACCCAGGTGGGCAGCAAGGGGGCCCAGGCATCTAGCAAAGCCGCCATTGGGGGATGCTCCTTGGGCTGCCAGGCTGCGGCGCAGGTCCGGAACGATGGCATCACCCCGGCCCAAATCAGCGAGGAGTACGGGTCAAAAACATTACGTGGCTGCTGCTCTGCCGGCTCTCCACGCTGCAGCATGGCCCGCCAATTCTTCACCATCTGCAGCGGCTCTGTTGGGTGCTCCAACGGTTGCCAGTTGAGCAGCTCCCGCTTCAGAAGCGGTGCGATCACGCCAGCTGCCAGATCAGCCAAGCCGAACTCCTTGAACTCGGCCGCATAGTCCACGAGCAGCTCCCGAAACATCCGCTCCGCCTGGGGCAGTTCCAGGTCGGGATTCTCGCTCAGACGCTCAACTCGGTCCAAAGCCTCCTCCAGAGTGCGTATATGATTGCGCTCCAGCTGCACAATCTCCTCCAGCTTGCGGTGCTCGGTCTCCAGCGCTGCCTGCTGGCTGGAACACTCCCGTTCCTGCTTGTCGATGGCAATGATCTGCTGCTCGGCCTGACTAACCAAGAGCTGCAAATTGTGAGTCAGCTCAGGCATTGCAAACACGGAAACGGAACTGGCAGCTCCTTTCTCCGACGGGTCGGCGTCATACAATGTCTCCTCCGGCGTGATTTTGGCCTGTCCCAAGGCATGATAACCGCTGAGCACTCGCTTCTCCGGACCCGTCATATCGATCACTGGGACATTGCCCAGCTTCTTGCTTAGCTTCTCCGAAAGCAGGTGACTGGACTTGTTCCCCTTGGCTATCACCTCCTCTACCGATTTGTAGTAGTAGCGTTTACCTTGTCGATCCTGCGTATCGGCTCCAGAGGCGCCTCCCTTACGCCACTTGTTCAGTTGTCCTTAAACTCCTTGGCCTCGCGCACATCCTCGTCCACCTTGATGGCCTTGGCTGCCTGTCCGCCGATGCTAGCTGCTGTTTCCGGGCCATAGGCTCCGATGGCTCCTCTGCCCTTGCGCACATGAGCCTGCACTGGTTGTGAGATTCCCTGTAGGTCCTTGCCCAATCCCTTGCCTGGTTCGTAGCCCATTTGGAGGAGCAACTTGGCACCGATTCCGCGTGTATGCTGCTCCCAAGCTCCCACATTCCGCTCACTGGCAATGTGCGAGCGATGTTGAAAGGTGGTTCCACCGCTGCCGGACTTGCCATGACCCCTGCTTAGAGCTGGTCGCTCTGCTTCCTCAGCGGAGCTATTTGAACTGTCCTGATCGCTCTGGTCGCCGAAGGCTGGACGTGCACTGGCTGAAGAGCCGTCGCTCTGGTCATCCCGATCCTCTCCGCCGTCCTCCTTAGTCGCACCGTCGCCTTCCTCAGCTTTGAGCGCCTTTTTCTTCTTTTTACCCGCCTGCTGAATGCCGCCGGCCACGAAGTTCACCGGCATTGTGTAATCCTTGGGCTGTCGGGCGGAACGGCCCCTCCGCTTGCCGCCCTCACCGCCGCTCTCCTCTCGCTGTCGTCTGCCCAAATGCCTGCAGGTAACACATTTAATTAAAGAAGTTCATTTACAAAGTTGGTAAAGTCATAGCTTACCATAGATTTGCTGGTGTCGACTTTGGCGTCCCCGGGGCCTGTTGATGTTAACTCATTGTCCAGGTCGTAGTCCGTGATCTCGAAGCGTTCGTATTCGTTGTCCGACATGGCTTCAAATTGGATTTCGACTTTATAATCCTTAAAAGCCGATTTCACACAGATTTGTAAACAAAAAAAGCGATTGATAATAGTGATGGAACTTCCACAGTGTGACCGTTCTTCGATTGTTGGAATATTACTTAGCAGTTGCACGAATATACCAAATGGAAAGAAACTCTGCTCATCGTAAAAATGTTAAATAAATTACAAAATTTAATTTAAAATGTATATGAACCATCAATATACGAAATTAAAAGTCTATTTTTAAAGGTTCGTAAAAACAAAATAATATTAAATAAGTAAAAATAAATACTTATAAATATACCAAGTCTTGCCTGAAATAAGCTGGCAACACTGCTGCGGGCTTGTTTGCATTGTCGGCTGGTGAAACTGATAATTCAGTTGGAATAAAACTCGATCGCTGCGACACAAACTGTAACGGAAGATTCGCTTAAGCAACGATAAGAAAGTGGTAAATAAGAAAAGCTGATATAAATCTTAAGTAAATAAAAAATGAGTACACCAAAATCGACTTGAAGATTAACTTTCGGACCTTTTAAGTGCGTGTGTTAATTGCCTTGATAGATAACTATTGATCATAAGACATAGTTGCCAAATTTAATAAGCTTTTACATTTTTAAATAAGTTCGATCTAGGCCTTAAATAAAGATAAACTGGCAAGCAAAGCTTCGTTGCTCGTTGAACTCGCAGAATTCGGATCGGGCAAAAATGTAAAAAAAAAATAAGCAACAGAAACCGTATACTTAATACGCACGCGTGTGTGTAGCTCGCAAAAAAAAAAAAAAACAAAACAAAAAACAAGAAAAATATAAACAAAACTACATGCTACGTCAGAAGTCTACAAACAAAAGATATGAACGCAGTGCTGACGTCGCCGCCAAGGTTCGAATCAGATATTATATTTTTTTTTGCTGTTTTTTGCTTAGCTGCTTGCTGTTTCTGTTTTCCATAAACTTACAACTTAACAACGTTTTTTGTTATTTTTTTATATATATATGTTTTTTGTTGTTGTGTGTGACTTTATCGCGTAGTGATTTGCGTGCACCTCAAGGGGAGGAGAACTGCATCCGAGGCCCTCTCTCTTTGGGATCAGCAGTGCCTTGAGATTGAAGTGAACGTTTCGATGTGTCTAATTACACAAGCTTTTGGAAAAAAAAATCAACCCAATGACAGCCTGAACCAAAGATAAAGAGAGCGATCTGAACATCAGCATAATGAGCTCCCAGAGAACTGGCTTCGTCCTGGACGCCAAGTCCATGGGTGTCAATAGGGGCTCCAGACCGCCATCGCCATCGTCCACGGAGTGCCTGTGTGAACCCTCCTCGAATCAGGAGGAGGAGGAGGAGGACTCCCAAAATGTGGACAGTTCCACATCCATCCAAGTCGTGGAGCGGAGAGATCAGAGATCAGAGCTTGAAGACTGTGGCAACTATGCCCAGTGTAACGCCAGCACAGATCCCCTGCCCACGGAATACTACCGCGATCTGCTCCAGAAGCTAACCCAGGAGACCGGTGATGCTGGTCGGGTCAACTGCGAACTGAATAGCATTTCCTCAAGCGACTGTGCGAGATCGATAGCCTGAATGAACAATGCGGGGATACTATGGTAAGAATAAAGCTAAAATAGAACTTAAAATTAATATACATTACCTAAAACTCAAGATCTCTAGATACTTGCCTCAAAACTTTAAGACTATCATTCGATTGTACTTAAATTTTCATAAAACTTTCACTTATGGGTATTATTTATATACGTATATAGTTTATATAATAATTTTGTTATAATTTCAATACAATTTAATTAAATGATACTTATTTCCCTGTAGTTCAGCACCCAATTGCGACTGGTCACCTTCCAGGAGTGGGTGGACTTCCTGCTCCATGTGAACAGTGTGATATTGGGCAACATGTCCGAGTTGGAAAATGAAGCCTATGGCAAAATAGTCTCTTATTTTAACTCCATGCAGGGACAACAGCAACAGGCTCTGGATGAGAATCGGAAGCTAAGGCGAGATATTTGCACACTGATCAAATTCGTGCAAACTGGCTACCATCGGAGCAGCTGGGAGGGCATCAAGGAGATCTCTCTGGAGACTTTGACTGTTAACCAGTTGCTGGGCATGAAACCGGATCAGGTCCTGCCGGAGAGTGAGAGCGAGAAGGTAGGCATTATCAAGAAACCAGGCTCCCCAAACTCCAAGATTTCTTCACCATCCCGTTGATTTTATTTTGTTTATTTATACTTTTTCTTGTTCAATAAATTCTTTATCATTATTCATTCAGAAGTCAGTTTTTCATTGTTATTTTTTTAACCCTTTCCTAGATGGCCGAGTGCATGAAGTCGTTAGTCAACGAGATGGCGGAAAAGCATGATGAGATCTGTCGCTTAAAGACACAACTGGGAAATTTAGATGAGGTTGTGCTCACGGCCAGGCAAAAGTTGCTACTCAAGGATCAATGCATAGCGCAGCTTAATCAGCAGGTGAGAAATCTAAGAAGTTGGGTATTAATTCATTAAATATTAGGATAAATTAATTATTGGTTTGGAAAAAAAATAAATTAAAGGATAGGTTTTGTAGTTTAATAAAAAGCAATAAGTTACATAGCTACCTTCTCAAAAAGCAACTTTGAGGTTCATTAACTAATTTAAAACATATATTGAATAAAAACCAACTTGAAAATACATTCAAGACCCTCTTTCATAATAACTGACGTTTGTTTATGTTTTCTTTCTAAAAAAATGCCTATCACAACCCCATCGGATGAGGGTAGTGACGTTAGAAATGCTTCTTGTTCCCTCAGCTCAGTTTATTATTAGATTAATTGGAATATTATTCGATTACTAAAGCTGAGCTTATCTCTGAATCGCCTTTCGTAGCGTAAAATTGGAAACCCGATCAGCTAACGTCTCAGTTGGCTGTCATTAGAAAATTCCAATGTAGTAAATAACACTAACAGACATTCGTGGCAGACTAAAAAATATATATATACTTCAATATGTCCCAAACACAGCTGCAGGAAGTCAACCAGAGCTTAGCCAATATGCCGCAGCAGACGAAACCCGAAGAAGAATCCTCCAAGGATTTGGAACAGGACTTGAAAGGGAGTGGTGGTGTTAACGAGGATCTGAAGCAGGACTCAAGTGGGAGCAAGGTGGATGTAACCACCAGCGAACAGATCACCAACTGTATGCTGCAGGATCTAACTATCCAAGATTATAGAGAGAACGAGATCCTCCGGATATTGGACAATGAGCTAAACGAGTTTCTTCTGATGCACAACATTAATGAGCATCAAAGAATGGAGTCTTGGCGGAGACGTCTCTCCACCTTGTACGGGAATATGGTAAGGATATATAGAAAATGTTTCAGTTTTATTTATATCTTTATTACCATTTTCTTCAGTGTGCTGAACGTAATGACACAGTTAAGAAACTGGAATACATTCGCAGTCAGCTCAGACTTCTTCAATCGGATGTTGACAAATCCCGCCTGGCCTTTAGCCAAGCTGTAACTGATGATGTAGACTCCAAGATGGTGGAATGCCTAAAGGATCGACTGGATACTCTCAGTCAATGCAATCGGGAGCTGCAAGATAAATACATGCGTCTCGATACGTACTCCAAAAGTGAGTACATATAATGATCTTTAATTGATATCATTGAAATCGATGAATATTTCAGTGCTGCAGACAAAATACGAGTTCGAAAACGGCTTGAATGAAAAGAATTCACAAATTTTAAAGGAGATTGCCGAACTCATTTGCAAACTGGTGAGTTGAGTTACTTTTTAATGTGAAATTTACAAGAGATTACTTAAATATGTTAGGTGTTCAATTCTGACTTTGTTTTAATTACTGATTCCACTGCAGAGTCCAAAGGAATTCTCCTATAATGATATTTACTCAGAGACTGCAACCGAGAACCCATTCTGCGAAGCCATCAACGAGATATGCGATCATATGTCATCCGTTCAGAAAACCAAAGAGGAGCTGAGTCAGGAGACAAATGTGAGTATCATATTTGACTTGGTTTCGATTTCACACACAAACGCAATTAGACGATTCCAATAACCTTGGCTGTCATATCAAATGCAGAAAGGCGACACGAAAACACCTAACCAAACAAGGATAGAGCCCACCAAAGCCAAACCCGCAGCCATGGCAAAGGCAAAGTCAACAACTAGGACCGCCACTAAGCCAACAACAAAACCTGCAACTAAGCCAACTTCTACTACAAAGACCAGGAGCAGCAAGTAGTAACTATGTCACTTGTTGTTGACCCTCCCACACATTTAGCCTAAGCTAAGCCAAGTTAACTCTACTTAAGTACTATAGCTTAAAGTTTTGCCCTCGTTGCCCTAAGTTGTAAAGTTATTTATCATCGAAATAGTTCCCGCCAAAAAACCCAAAATGATGGCGGAAGAACGGGTATCTTTGCGAATATATATATGTCTTGTTTATATACAAAAATCAACTGATATCTATATATTCACAATGAAGTGAAGCCAGGAGCTCAGTCAGATGGGGTTTAAAAAGTATAGTTTTTAAACATTTTGAGTTTGTCAATATATATTACTAAGACTCAGCAGAGTTGGATTTTAAAATTAGAATTATTATTTTAAATTGAATTTGTATATATATTAAAAAGCTATGCCTCTGACCTAACTATACAAATACATTTTCCTTTGCCACCGAATAGTCTCTTATGTGGTAAATGACATTCGCCTTCGGGCAAGAAGCCCCATATATAGCTTTCCATATATATAAATTTATATATATCCTGGAACAAACAACAAATATTGTTGCCATTCGAGTCGACTGATTTATTTACCCATATATTTCGTATGGTCCCGAAAGTAAGTTCCCTGCGAACTCTCCTGTCTACCTTCGACAAATACAAATCGGTCGCGAATGTGTTTATTGTGGAGGAAAGTTCAACTGCAATTGAAGGCAGGATGGGATTGGGGATTGGGAGTTGGAGTACCTCCTCCCGACAGGCTCACCTGCCCTCCAGGAGCTGGCGAATCGGAAATAGGTTTCGTGTTATTTATTTACCCACAATCGACACGCGAGGCAGGCGAGCGAGTGATATGCATATCGATGAGAGCCCACGGGACATGGGACGGGGATTTGAGTGTCGAGAGCTGGCTCGTGATCCTCGTGAGCCGGGAATTCCCCTTAATCGAATCCTGGATAGAGTAATTTAGTCTATTACTTAAGTTATTAATAAGGAATTAAATTTGTAAATACAAAAGAGGCAAATTTTGTACATATAATATTTATTTTGATATGCCATGTTCAGATGTACAGTTGCTGACAAAGGTAATCAAAATAATTATTTTGTTCTTAAGTATGTAGGTTGTAAAATATATATTCAATAATATAGGAACTAAGTAATATAAATAATATATCAACTATTATTATATTATATTTCCTTTAATAAAAATTCATTTAAAGAGGTTCTATTCTTTTTGAGTTACATTGAGTTAGGAGCATTAAAAATTAGGTTTTTAAAAAAGTATTTGGGTTAAACCTGATAAAATTATTATAATAGACATTGAATATAAATGTTATATTTATTTCTAAAATTATATTAATATGTTTATTACAAAATTATAAAGTTGATGCAGGGAATCTCCGATAACTTTATCCAAAAACAGTCCTTTTATTGACCACTAAAAAATATAATTCTGTCCAAGTCTAATAATATATTATTTTATTTACCCTTTTGAAATACTTTCACTCCTTAAAACTCTTTAAAACGAAACCCCTAAAGTCATAATATTAATAGAATTAATTTTTATTAATATATAATTCCCCTAACCACTCTCACGCGATCATCTCAGCGACCAACTGCTGGGTGGAAAATCAAACACAGCTCGGTTGGAAGCCGTTTGCTGCACCCATGCCGGGGTCGTCGGCGCTGGGAACCGGAGTAGTTCGCTTCAGAATCCTGTCATCCGTCGTCGGTTGCTGTTTAGTCGCGTGAAACAAATCAAGGAAGCGCCAGGATTCGGCACCGGGAATAAAGCGCGCGCGTTTGCTAAATGTCCTTTCTGAACCCGCACATTAAGCGTAGACGTGAATTTACGAGCCCTAATTAGCCGCCCGCGAAATTTGGAAATTTTCCCCAACACAACCAAAGGTGCTTTACCCGCGCAAAAGGAAAAGGCATGCCATTAGTTCGAAACTTTTCCGTTCAGTCCTAGGAGCAGGTGGACGCGGTGTGGAAAAGTTTTCCAAAAAGTGCAAATTGTTTTCGAGTGTTTCGAGCGGTGTGTGTTTCGAAAGCAAACTGTAAATGTGCAAATTGAGTCAGGTGAAAAGGTGTGGAAAACAGGCAGCGAAAAGTGGGCACTCTTAATGGGTTTAATGACAGCCAGACGACACAATCCTTTTGGTACCTGGAAATCATAACAATTCATTGCCCCCGGGTATAGTATGTTGTCTTAATCGATTTTCACAATTCCCACCTTCCCGCTCCAAGGAGGCTATCAAATTCGTACTCCTCCACGAGTATAATAATATGCCTTTAAAAGTGTTTTAAGTGCGCGAAGCCACGCTCTCCCCAGCCCCTCAAAGGAAATACTATTGGCAATCGGAGGCACAGACAGACGATATTGTAGGCTGCCACCCGCGCGGCAACTTTATTTTCAAATCGTGTCAAACAGTTGGGCCTCGCCTAGAGGGCGAGAGAGTAGAGGGGTTGGGTGCATAGTAGAATAATATAATATCTATAAAACCCCGGGGGCACCCCTTCCTCATATATACATAGTTGTTTTTCCTTGTGTTGCCAAAGTGCCAAAGAAATGGAACTTTGAAACCCGAAACCCAAAGTCTTGCCACCTACGTACGTCTTCGTAGAGTTCGATTTGGTTTTATTTTCGTGACAAACTTTTAATAGCAATATTATTGAAATGAAATGAAACGGTAATGAAGTCAAAATTCGTTTGCTCTGTGAGAGATATACCTATATTTGCAATCTGAGCACGACATCGAAAGCGATTTAAACTAAAACTGCAAAGATATATGCACTCAATGGACAAATTGACAGGTTGACTGACAGTTGATACCATTATTTCGCGATTTAGTGATTCCCCGGTTTTACGGCAATTAGTTGCAAAATATTCCGTTCCGCCATGGTAAGCTTCGCAACTCGGAAATTGTTCAGGATTCAGGAGCTGTCTCTTTTCCATTTCGCATTCGCAGAACGAAAAGACTGCCGTTGACTGTCCCCATCGGCAGCAATTGGAGCATACGCTACTCCACTGCCAGACCCAGACGGAGATCCTGCAGGCCACCAGGGATAATTATCTCAGCATAATCGATGAGTTCAAGCGGGATCTCGAGGAGCTGACCGAGCAGGTTGAACAGCAACAGAAGCAGCAGCAACAGCAGCAGCAGCTGCAGCAGACCAACCAATCCTGCCCAGAACCAGAGCTCCACTTGGAGGAACCACCGCGAATAAACTGTGAACTGGAGATACAAGTTCGACACATTTCACCTCACTCTATCCCTTTCAAATTCACTAAAATCTTTTCTTTTTCTCTGATTTCTCTTCTGTGTTTCCTCCTTAGAATGAACGCCTTGCCTGCCAAATCGAAGGACTACAGGATACGCTAAAGGATCGCGATAGCCAGATTGCTGATCTGCAGACCATGATCCAGAGCTACTCCGATGTCAGCGAGAATAATCGACTCAAAGAGCAGATACATGAGCTCAAGCTGAAGAACAGTAAGTTAGATTTCAAGTATACTCATTATATAATTACTTATATATCCTTTTCCAGGTGATCAGAGTCGCCAGATTCGTGAGCTTGCCGCTGCAATTAAGAGCAACGAGCAGGAGAGAACGGAGCTAGCCACCAAGCACGAAAACCTAATGGGTAGTCTTGAGGAAAAGTGCCAGGGACTCAAGGGAGCCGAGCGACAGGTGGAGAGTCTCCAGACGCGTTTGAGTCAGTTGGAACAGCTGCAGGAAGATCTTAAAATGGAGGTGAATATCCTGTTTCTACTGCCTTAAAATCTTTGTTATTAATTGTTCTTCCTTCTTTTAATTACAGCGCAGCATGCTGCGAGATGAGGTGGTCGCCCTCAAGGAAAAGGAGGCCGTGTCAGCGGGTCGAGAGCGAGCTCTCTTGGACCAACAGCGACTGGGTCATAAGGAGCTAGAAAAGTTGCGATATATCATCCGGGATATGCAGGGTCAGCTGCAGCAGGAAGAGTCCCAGCATCGGGACAACATTAAGCAACTGGAGCTGACCAAAGTTTCTCTACGGGAACAGATGCACAACCTTGCCGCCGACTGCCAGCGTATGCAGTCACAACTGAAGTAGGTAGTCCGGGCGGGATGGAGTGCATCCATCTAAGAGCAGATGCCATCTTCTTCCATCTCTATAGGAAACAGGTTGAGGTCAACCAACAGCAAGAGCAGATTTTGAATTCCTTTCGCACGTGGAAGGATGCCCAGGTTAGGTCCGATGAGGCGATGCGGCGACACATCAAGGAGAACGATGAAAGAATTAATTTACTGGTGGATGAGAATCATTCGCTGGCCGAAGACTACAGCTGTGTCTACAGAGACTATCAGCTTTTGGAGCAGGAAATGAAGAGGCTTAAGCAAGCGGTCAACTATGCGCCAAGTCCCTCGATGGGTTATCCTGTGTCTCCAGGTGGCGGACGATTGGATGCCGAGACGGGCAATGAAGTGAGTTTATAAATCAAAAGAAATACCTTCTAGTTTTAAGAAAACAAATTAAATTAATTACAAATTTAACCCAAAAAAAACTACATTGAAACCTTTAAAATTCTTTGCTTCCATTCTACAATATGTCTTTTCAAAATTATAACAAATTGGAATAACATTGGATTAATATTAGATGTTTGACCAGTTGGAATAGAACCACTTTGTGTGTATAATGTTTATAACTTACCCACTGACAATCCTCCCGGCAGATGGCCAGACGCCTTCAGAGCATGGCCACCACCTCCCAGCGCGTTTCCCATCAGTACCGAACACTTAACGATTTTCCAGCGAGTGCGGTTTCCCCGTATCAGAACCGCAAGGCCCAGGGAAGACCAGCGGGAGACCAGCTAAGACCCTTTAGCTCCTCGGATGATGTGTCGTAGGGTCAACCTCCAATCATTTTCACCACCCCAAACGGCCAACTATAAAGTCAAGTCGAGCATATTGTAAATTCCTTGTAAATTAAAGTAGAAAACAACGAAAACTAATAAACATTTGCATATACAGTTTGGGTGTTTTTTAACAGAGGCGTCATTTGATTTAAATCCCAAAAATCGCAGCATCCAGCTTGTCTTTCATTAAATATCTTTACGGAGCTATATTCCTGAGTTATATTTAACCGAAATTGTATATTATTTAACGTAAGGTACCCTCAATCAATCTCCCATCCTGCCTGTTGCATCCTTGTCTATTTCCTATCGTCCTGCTGGTTGAGCTTGGCCCTTTCGCTGATTGCTATTAAAGCCATTTTAATTTGAGCCCGCTTCTTGACGCTCTCCTCGCGCAGAACTTCGGATTGCTTGGTCAGTATCTTGACGCGAACGTCGCTGAACTGCTCCGCCTCCGGCAGGGTCATCTCCAGATAGACATCCTTGCCCACGTTCACCAGGATGCGATCCATCTGGCGAACTCTGGCCTGCATAAAGATATTGCTACCAATGTTAACCTGCGTTTTGTAGCCCTCGGACAAATGCGTGTCGAAGGTTTGGAGCGTGTTCTTCAACTGCACGTACTCCATTATCTCCTCGTTGTACTGTCCAATCCATTGTTCCAGCTGGCGGAGCTCCTCCTTTAGGACTTCATTGATAAACTCCTCGATTTGGGTTATGCGCGCTTCATTGGCAGCCTGCCTGTGTAAATTTAATTTAAGCAGTTTATTCGTATTTCTTGATAGCTCATTACTTACTCCGGACTCTGTTGAGACGCCGCACTGGTTTTTGACTTGTTGTGCATTGTTATTTCTTTAATTATAAGCTTTAAGCCCCGTAAATCCGGTAAAAACAAGCAATGTTTGATTTGTTTACCTTTTTGTCGCAAAGTAAGTTAACAGAGAGCTGTTGAGCGCATTCGCATGCGCGCTGTTATTAACAGCCGCTGAAAGGTATGACCATATAGGTAGAGCGGCAACTTTTTTAGTATTTTCAGTAACAGAAATTTCGATTTGGTCGTTACAATTCAAATATTCACAGTAAACGGAAATGAGTGGGAAATATATAATGATTGCAGGGGAATCTTACAAAAAGCATTGCTAAAAATCTAACGACAATATTGTATATATCTATTATATAGATATTCGAAGTCAGTCAGCCCTTCAATCACAAGAATAATGGAATAAATATTAATGCAACTATTATAGGATTCTGTCTCTAAACAATGAGGTAATATGCCATTTCCGGTTGGTTGATTACCAAAAAAACGAAATATATTTTAAGAGAAATTCTTCTATCTTTATTTATTTTTGATTGTATTCGGAAACACACTCCCCTGCTGGTTACATCAGCACAAAAAAGTGTTAAGTTGTGCCAAGTTCAATTAATCTCACACATTGCAGATTTTCGCACTAATCCGATGTGACTCCCAGTTCATCGCACACTTTATATAATCCGAAACAAATGATCACAGCCATAAGACAGAAGCGAAAAATAAAGTCAATTGTCTGCGCAGGCAATTCCAAATTAAAATTTTCACATCACTCTTTGAATGTCTTATCTGCAAGTCCGAATTGAATTGAAATCACACCCGAGGCATGAATCATTAGCATTTTTAATGCCTTTTTAGCCTTTGTATTTGAACTCTGTTGTTTGTGGTGCGTATGTTTCCGGTTTAATTTATTTATGCACACACTTATCATTATTAATAATTCTTTATACCAGACTGTCTTTATGATTTATAATATTATATTTACCATTATCTTGTTAGTTTAAAACGCTTTAAATACTGCGATTGAAGTTCCAGCAACTGCTGCCTTTGGGAGAATTATAAAATGCCTTCAAGTTATATACCTGAGGCATCCTCCTCATTGATGGTGAAAGTGCTCGATGTTTAGATAGCGACTTGATTTACTTTACACCTAACAAAAAATAGATCCGCTTTGGTGTCTGGGTACCAATTAAGGATGCGCTACACCTCCGCCGCTAACAATATCCAAGCAATCCATTGTCCACATCCAATTAGCTGATCTCCAACACCTCTCAGCTCCTGCTGCAAGCACCATTTTCCACGGCTGCCGCCTGGCTTGCCACAAATCAAAAGGCTGGAAAACCAAACCAAAACAAATAAAAAACAAAACGTCGGAATATCCGAAAACCAAAACAAGCCGAGGAAACCCAAAAAAGCAAAGTGCCAACTTTCATTAAAAGTATTTTTGCGCTCATTGGCAATGCATTCAATTGTGGTCTCGGCAGGCATGGGATCCCATGCCTAGTTTAAGCCAGCGACTTTGACTTTGACCACCTCCTGTTGTCTCTGGGCCTTGTTTCGCATCCAATCCTCATGATCTACAACACACCGTGACCTTCTTTGCCTTCTCTGCCCATGAGAGAAGCCTTGTGCTGCACGGGAAACAATTTCGAAATAATAATTCAAGGATGTCTAGAGCTTTGTTTGACTTTAAAATATTAAATACAAAGTTGAAACTCATGTTTTACTATCATAAATAGAAAATTATGGTATCATTTTGGCTTTTTAAGTTTTAATTTGAAATGTGCAATTAACACGTACCAATATTTTTAGAGGGTAAGCTTTATTAAGGATTGAATTGCTCTTAGGAAAGTATATTTTATCTCATTTATTAATATTAATAATAGAAGTTTCTTTTATTTTATTTAAATTTATTTGTATTAAAATAGGAATTTTAGATTAATATAAAAATGTATCCTTTGGTTTCCGTGTAGAGAAAGACTTGCCACAAACCGAAACGACAAACATTCGCACACTAAATTTGAAAAAGTAAAAACCGTCGAAGGAAAGTGAATTTCTTTTAAGCAAATCAACTTGCCACGCCCCTCCTTCGATGGGATCCCCCTTTCTTTTACCCCCGGAGATTCACAGATCTTTTGGGTGAAATTTCATGTGCCATTAAACTGGTTCTGTCAGGCACAGGCACTGGACTTGTCGATTGGCTTCGAATACATATCGGTTGTAAGATTGGGCTTAGGTTCGGCGACTTTGAGCACTCCTTGCCACAAAATTTTCTAAAATTAAATGGATATAACGACGGGGACTTTACCCATTTAACGAAACACACTAAGGTATCAAGGTTATATGTGTTTATGATGAAAAGAAAATAGTTAATATCAAGATTAAGTAACTTTTTCTATCTTAATTTGTTATTTAAGAAGATTTCTTTTTTAATTAGGTAATGCCAAAGGATATATTTATTTTAATAAGAAATCAAAGTCTTTTCATATTAATTAAGTAAAACCCCTTCAAATATCCCTTCTTGGCTGATTACTAAGTGTCCTTAAGTATAGATAGGATTTAGACTGAAATATTTAAGTTTACATTAAATAACCTGCAGCATTTATATATTTTAAAACTAAATAAAATAAAGGATACCCCATTAGCAATGCCATTATAGGACATCTGCAGCGTGTAAATGAGGCATGTGCTCCTGCACAGAGACTGAGACTCTTCCCTTTTCACATCGCCCACATGGCCATAAAAACATGGTTAATTTCCATTTGTGGCAGCTTTGGGCTGCAAAGGAAGCTGGCGACTCCTCGTGGGCGTTGCAAGATGGAAGGCAGGCCAGGCACTTGCCGCACTTGCCACACGCTGCGTTGCGTCAGTTTAGTGTGTCAGAAGCCGCCAGAAGAAGAAAGTTGCTCCACGTTCAAGCCCCATTGATCCGGTTTAGTGGAGTCAAGTCGCTACAGGTTCGTTGTTCCTTCGAATGGCGATCACTTCGTCTTTAGCGTTTTCCTCTGGGTTTTTTTATTTTTTATTTTTATGTTTGCTTACTTTCTGCCGCCACGAAAAATCGTCGTCCACTTTCGGTCGCAATTAATTATGCGGCGGGCAGCTGAAAATGAAAGTGCGCCCAGGTTGCAAGTCCAGATCTTGGGTTCTCACTCTCTCTTTCTCCAGCTCGACTCCTGCACCTACTCCTGGCCCCATCCTCGTCGCGGGTCCATGTTTCCTTCTCCAAAGTTGTGTGGTGGCTTTTTTCTTTAAAGTGCAGCAAACGATGCCTTTTTCCCATTATTAGACATCAGTGACTTTATTTCTGCCCAGAGAAAAGCTAAGTAGGGGGTTTTAAATGTATCTCGGAGTGTTTTAAGCTTAAAATTAAAGTGTAATGATATTCATGCAAGTTTCCTCTTTTAACAAAAATATTGTAATAGGCATTGATTGTCTATGAATGATGATAGTTTAGAGATCATGTCCTAGAATTTGGTTTCATAATTCTAAACTAAGATTTTAAACCTTTTCTTTGAATTTACAAAGCTTTTCTACTTGGAAACCCCAAATAAATATCTTCCACAATATTTACTTTACATTTTAAAAGGAGCTCTTCCAATTCCTGTAATCTTTCTTACTGTGTACCTTAAAAAGTGAGAACATTCTTTGCCAAGATCTTCATTATCTTCAAACGAGAATGCCGATACCGGGTCCTCCATCCAGTTGCTGCCCATCGAGATGTCGTTGTCATCCTCGTCGTGGTCGTAGTGTCTGTCGGGTCCATAAAGAGTTTGCTTTATGTTAACCAATGGAACTCGCAGGTGGTCACTTAGTTTACGGCCGGGCAACCGCAAGATCCCGCACCGATCCGCGCTGATTTGTTGTCGCCATTCCCAGGCCCAAGATTGGTGGCTAAAGTGTTCTCCGAATGCTGAACCCTAAGATATTAAACAACCTCGATTACTCAGACGGATTCAATATCAAGGAAGCTATTAAAGATATAGTAATGAATTAAATAATGTATATAGAAAGGAAGTAATATTAGTATAAATAAAATTATAGTCATGGTAATCAGATATAACTTTATTTATATATATAATTATTATTATTTTAAGTCCTGAGAAGATTTATAAATTAATTATTCATTTGTATATTCTTGAACAGGGTATTATAACCCAAATCATTTCCTACCCTATAAATCATATATATTCCTTATTAAAGATAACTTTCAAGTTCTTACACTTATCCCAAAAATAAGTACAAATTCTCTTCTTTATCCGATTGAAGTATCACCACAAAACAATCCATTTTATTACCCCAATTATGT